AAGAAAGAAGAATGTGTGGAATGAGCAAATTAACCCAGACTGGTGACTAGCTGTCAGATTTTTCTAGCTTGGCTAAAAAATTCTTCAAGGAGAGGAGGCTTTCCTGATAGAAATACTTTCTTGTATTACAAAGCTTCTTATTGAAGAAAATCTCACCTCTGTTCAACTTGCAGCTCCTCTCTCTGTTGTTAAACTGCATTTATTTTTCATGATTGGTTCTTCAGCACTTCTATGATAGTTTCTTCTGTGTAAACCTTATCTTTTCAACATGCCTTTCCTTTCTTTCTTTCTTTCTTTCTTTCTTTCTTTCTTTCTTTCTTTCTTTCTTTCTTTCTTTCTGTATGTATTTATTTATTTTTGGTGAAAAAGGCAAATTGTCTTTAGGATGTTATGATGATTTAAAGCAGGGGTCCTCAAACTTTTTAAACAGGGGGCCAGTTCACTGTCCCTCAGACCGTTGGAGGGCCGGACTATAGTTTAAAAAAAAAAAAACTATGAACAAATTCCTATGCACACTGCACATGTCTTATTTTGAAGTAAAAAAACAAAACGGGAACAAATACAATATTTGTATTTGCATGTGGCGCGCGGGCCGTAGTTTGAGGACCCCTGATTTAAAGTGTAATTGCTTAGGCCTTCCACCCTGCCAACAATTGTATTTGAGTAGAATTCTGAGTCTTAGTCACTAAGTAGAATATTTAATTAATGTGACTAAAGGCAGAACTCTGATCTGTGAAAATTCTGGTCTTCAGTTTATATATCTATAAAATGAAAGAATTGGAAACACACCTCTGAGGGGCCTTCCAACTTGTTCATGACAAGAACCCAAAAGATGTTGGCACAGAGTCATACAATAAGATTTTCAGAATGTGTTTACATTCTCTCCATGTCCCTAGGCTGTTCCAAACGCATCAGCAGCCTAGGATACTAAAAATATCTATCATAAACCCCCTTCTTCCATCAAGTTCTGATTTGTCTTTATAGACCCCTTCCTCTACTTCTATACCATCCTATGAGATTTTGATGTTTACTAAAAATGAAGAGTAAGAAGTGGGAATGGAGGCCAAATACAGCTGGTTTCCTTGAGTTTAGAAAGTGGGAACAAATAGGTTATAATTGTAAGAGAGTGAAATGCTCAACCTCTCTGACTCCATCTTGTTCAAACCTGCTTTGCTCCCATGGCCTTCAGGTAAATAACTTCTTGCATATAGACCTGATAATCATTGGAGAAACTGTGCTTGCAGCTTGAGTTTTACAAAAATAACCCCTTACCAGAAAGTGCCTCTCCTAAGGAGATAAAGGAAATACGGATTGTTTATCAAAGATTTGCAGGTACCTCTTGACCACACTTACACCAACCAGGGTCAACAAACTAAGCACAATCTTTCTTGAACCCCTGCTGGAGCCCAGATATCTGTGGTCATCAATCACCTCTTTCCCCTTCCATTTGCCTTTCTCTTGACATAAAAGAAGCCTGAACTCTGTACTTTCTTAAGATGGATTTGAGAAACCACTAAGTCTCCCATTTTCTCGATTGATGCTGTCTCAATCAATAAGCCTTTTCTTACTCCAAACTCTGACATTTTGAGTTTAGCCTTTGAAGCATGGAGTACATGAGCTTTGGACCAGTAACATAGGGATAATGCTGTTTCTCTTCCCCCTTTTTATTTTATCCCACTAGTAGTTCTTGACTCGGTGATCTGATGACACCTGGTTAAAGTCTTTACCTTATTTCCTATTAACTTCATCTATTTCCACAAAAGAAGTTTTAAAAAATTGCTATGAGGGTTAAATAAATTTAAAAAAATATGGAGTCTCTCACAGTACACAATATGCATTATAATACATACTACCACTCAATATTTGCTAGTTGGACAGTGCCTTATAGAATAAAAACATTTTTTATTAGTTATCCTCTTCCTTCTTATGAAATTACTGCTATCTAAAGATCAGAAAGTTGGTGTGAAATGCTCAAAGACAAAGAGCTAGTGAAATCCATGGTTTATACTCAGAGTATGATTTTGAGAAGAAAGCTACCAAATCTTTCTTTGCTTAAAGTTTGACACATTCTATACCGGGATTGTACCCCAACTTTGAAAATTCAGCCATAATAGCTCAGTGAGAGATACACAGTCTTCTTACCCTGATGGCATAAAATTTTTATAATTCCCCTTTTATTTCTAGTAATACTTTGTTTTCCTACAATCTCAGAATTGCTAATATTGAGTATATATAAAAATCTACAGTTCCACTTGAGATAGAGGTTTTCTTCCTGACCTTTAACTAGAATTCCTGAGCAGGCTTTTTGCCCACAAAAGATGGCAGGCTCCTTAGGGCAATTCTTCTAACTCTGTGTCTAATTGGAAACAAGGCTATGTTGTGTAATGGCAGAACTTTAACTTGGAATGTATTTTGTAACTATAGCCCAGAATGGTGAAAATACCCCTAAACAAGGTTTTAGGAAACTATGGCTCTCACCAACTCAGGCCTGTGTATAGTGATGCATTGGGAAAAGCCCTGGGCCTTTCTGAGTCTCAGTTTCCCCATCTCCAGAAACAAGAGACTGGGTTATAGCTTCCAAGAGCCTTTCTAGTTCTGACATTCTATAGTTTATAAGCCTTAAACTACTATTCCTCTATACTGGCTGATTGCTGTTCTTACATGTTTGTGAAATAATGTGGTAGATGCTAAAGTTCCCTAGAAGTCATGGGACAACACTTGGTGTAGTCTTTGCAGTAGAGGGTATGTTCTGCTGGGGAAAGGAGGGCTAATTTGATGCCTCTAAATCGAAGAAGCCGTAACTCAGAGGCTTCTTATGCATCCCAAATCCTTGACTTTGTGAATGCTAGTAGCATCATGACCATAGCTGTCTACATCATTCACCCAGAGTTAGTGAAGCCTTGGAATTTCACCATATGGAGATACTCTAAAGAACATATGGGGAAACAGATTCAGAAAAAGAAATAAGCTTTCCCATGGTTACACAGCATTAAGTGTCAAGACCAAGACTCTAACACTGGACTACCTGTCATCCTGTTCACTGAACTTTTTACACTACCTTACATGACTTTCCTCATAGTAAGCACAAGAAAATTCTTTAATAAAGCATTTCTGATCATAAAGACATCATATTCTCCACAATTGCCCTACTGACATTTGACAGAAGAGGAGATGATAGATTTTCATAATACTCTGGTACTCAAGGCTTTTCTGAGAAGTAACACCTTAGTTTTACCTTTGGAGAGACTATTTAGTTCTAGATTTATCTTTCCATCTATCACCTCTGGAGCTCAGGTGAGAAGGTTGGCTGAACTTGTATGTTTATGCTACATCTCTGAAAAAGGTAATTGCCATAACTCAAATTGATTGTCTTTTTAGAAATAGGTTCTCTCTTGAATTTCATGCTTAAGGGGTTTCTCTAAAGTGAAGGAATATAAAGTGTATTTACTAGATAAGCTATCTTGGCAGATTTTCATCCCTTTTGGATAAAAGCAAAATTGCACCCAGTACATAAATTGACATATGAAGCAGTAAATAATTGCATTGTGCAAGTTGTTTTAATGGACTCAAGCCAGAATATGCCATTAACCAGCATGCATAGGATATTCATTGAGCTTTGGGTTTATTACCAGGCAAGGGGAAACAAATGAAGGGATGTATAAGGGGGATGATAAAAGTCAGTAAGCACCTGAGAAGGTGAGGAGCTAGGAAGGGAACTTTAGAGGTATGTACAATATTTTTCTTTTTTTTTTCTCTCTTCTTCATCTTCTTTTTTCTTTTCCTTTGCTTTTATTTCTGGGCAAAGAATTAAGTATAAGAAAAGGTTGGTGTCAGCTTTCAAATCATCAAAAATCTGAAAACTAGACAGCAGAATGTGCCAGGCTCTCTTCTAACTTTCCTTTTGTAAGAAGCAGCTGAAGGACCAGGCAATTGAACAAAGGGTGCTATATGTTTATGTGTGAGATGGTGTTTATATACATCTCTACATGAATAAATACTCAGAAACCACAATAGCATTCCCAAAGGAATTCATCCTTAATACAGGAAGTCACAAGCTTTGTGAAGGGACCACAATTAAGCTCCAGTTTTTCATTCTAGATCCCAGGATTTAATTTCTAGAAGAAACAAGACCTCTGTGATATTCCATGGGGCTGTTTAGAATTACAGATAACTTAGCTTATTGAATGCCAAGCTCCTGAGCTTGGCTTAACCTCTAGGGATCTCTTTGCAATCAGAGATGCCTAAAACCATTAACCATGAATTCTGATGGGCATATGCAAAAGTAGAGGCCACAGAACTTACAAATTTGTCAATCATTTTGGCCATACTCCTCTGCCACAAATTTCTTCCCACCACTCCCAAGATGGCTTTTTCTTGTTCTTCACTTGGATTTACTAGATGACCAGGCCTGGGCTATACCAGAGACTGGCTACCTCCCACATACTGTGGACCAGAACTGTGGATTTGATGGAAAAGGGCAAGGGCAGTCTCCCTGTGAGCTTTGACATGTTTATTGCTGAAATTTTGCTTCTCAAAGATCATATATATCTTCATATTTGGGAAGTTCCCATTTTTGTTTTTGTTTTCCTCTCAGTTCTTGTTTATATTTATGGCTCTGTGGAAATCTTTGCCATTTCCTTTTTTCTTTGAAATCATCTCCCACCTTCACTGTTTCAGTTCCTGTCCCACTACCTTGACTCTTCCTTCTTTCTTTCTCTTTTAACTCTTACCATCAGAATGTTGTCATGAGGTCAGTGTTCAAATGTCCGTCCCTAACATCTGTCCAACTAAGCATTTCCATATAGAACTCATCATGTTTGGAAGCAAATTCATTCTTTTATTCTTCTATATTTTTGGAACAATTCAACTGTTTGATAGTTAAGCCACTTACCTAAGCAACAATATAAAGGCTGAATGAGATAGTACATCCTTTTCCCACCCTTGATTTTTATTTTAATCTAATGGAATGGCTAATCTAAAGGGAAACTCCTTTTTTGTAGGAGACAAGGAGAAGGCCTTAGGATCTACTGGGGGAGTCTGGAGCAGCAGTCTCTCTTATCCCGTTGGAATCCATGGTCCACTGAGGTGCCTTATGCTACCTTCACTGAGCATCCTATGAGATATACCAGTGAGCAGTTCCTTGAAATTTGCAAGGTAAGAATTCACTCTTGGGTTAGCTTTGTCGCTACAGTTTTGTGCTTCTAAAGCATGTACAGTAAAAAAAAATAACATAAGATATTACATGGGGTTTATGTAGGTAACAACTCAAAGAGGTTTATATAAGTTTTTAGTAAACAATGGAGCTGTTTTATATATTTTAAAAATATATAATATTTATATTATCCATACCATGCTATTTCTGTCTTGCTAATTTCTTAGCAGAAAATCATAGTGTAATATTGTTTAAAAATTGCAATAGTTGTGTTTGTCTAACTGGGCTTGTTACCTATAGGGTGCATATAATTTTCTATACATAATTAAATTCTATTTTATTCAGAGGATTGTGGATAGTGTGCAGTATGAAGTATGCCTCTGTAGTCATATTTAAGTCAGTTTTTTCTCTGCACCTTGGTTGTCTTATCTCTAAGTGGAAATAATGAACACTGACCTTCTTCCCAAACTCATTGGATCATTGTAAGGTTAAATGAGATAATGTGTAAAAAAAGTTCTATAAGCTATAAAGCAATTCACAGTATTTTATGTCCTTACATCTCATCTCACCAAGTAGATTATAAATGTATTGGTGGCAGGTAGAATTACTGTTACTATTCTTTCTTCTTCCCCAGGGAAACATAAGCTAAAATACTCTAAATAAAATTATTGGAGCCATACATGCAGTGAAGATCAACCTTGACATTTTCAACAAAACCAGATAGACATATACAAGTTCATTATAGGCCTAGACATTCTTGCTGTCACTGTCCTTTCTATGTTTACCTTCATGTGCTGGCATCCACTTCAAATATCACAACTCATTTGATATGAATTTAGAACATGACAACCTGCATGTAAAGTCTTCTGTGGCTGGATGGTATCAATTGCATTTCTTGCATTATTTTAAACTCACTTATTCATATAAGTTTATATGTATATCATAAACAAATATTTTAAATCGATGCCCCCTATCCTAAAAAAGGATGTGAGGCAAAATATATGTGATTAGAGACTGGATGGGGTCTTCAGCATCCTTTAAGTTGATTGAATTCCATTCTTCTCTCAGGAAAAGTCAATGGTCCTCTCCAGATTTAGGCAATCATCCTCAGGGATTTATGATCTAGTGCTTATTCTGGCTCCAAGCTATTGTAGGACTAAATTAGTTCATTGTATGGATAATGTTTATACTCTTCCTGCTATAATCCTATTTCACAATACCTCAACCCAAGCATCAACAGAAGCCCAGAAGCCCCTAGCCTCACTCTTAACCACCCAACATCAACAAAACAAAACAAAATGAAAACCAATAAGAACAACATAGCACTTATGCAAAGGCATTTATGTGAAAGTAGACTCACCAGGGGCATCAGGGAGAGAGTTTGGGAATTTACATCATTATAACACCCCAAACTTCAAATGGAATATCAGATATTCATGTTTTTAAAAGATCTTATGAATAATAACACCCTAATGAATTGCTCCATAATCTTCTTCCCTCTTCTCTGTATCTAGCTCTTGCCACACCCCCAAGTCTTGTTTTAGTTTTTCTTATTAACAGCATAAAGTAGTTTATCTGTTTCCTTTTTTTTTCTTTTTGTTAATCCTCACCCAAGGATATTTTCCCATTGATTTTTAAAGAGAGTGGAATGCAGAGGGAGAGACACAGAAAAGAGAGAGAGCGACATCAATGTGAGAGAGACATATTGATTGGTTGTCTCCCAGGCATGCCCCTACCAGGGCCTGATCAAACCTGCAAATGAGGTACATGTCCTTGACTGGAATTGAACCCTGGACTCTTCAATGTGTGAGCTGATACTCTATCCACTGAACCAAACCAGCTAGGGCTAACTATTTCTTTTTTAACACCAGCTATTCCAACTCAAGAACTTAATAATGTAACTTACCAAAGCCATTTCCTACCTTTAAAGGGAATCTAGTTCTGGCCATTAAAATAATATATATTTTTAATTAATAATAGTTGTATTTTATTGTAAGTCAAAATAAATACCAACTTAATAAATAAATAACAGCAATAGCCTTTGTGATTATATTCATCACTTCCTGGACCAAGTCTTCTTTTATTCCTCATACCTTGTGCATCAAGTACTTATTCTTTGAGTGTCCTTTGCTAGAAGAGATTTTGGGTGAAGGATTAAAAACAAGCTCTATTTATTACAGAGAAATGCCACTGTATTACTCTAATTTCTGTTAGTGTTTTGTTTTATTCTGTTAATATATAAACACAATCAAATAATTTAAGAAGGAAGTTGAAAACTAAAATATTGAGAGGGGTGTGGAATAATTATTTCCCAAATACCCATGAATGTAATTAGTAAACTGGAACATTAAATTTTCCTCAGGCCTTTCTATTAGTCAAAGCTAAAAAGGAAATTTGATGTTGATATAGCTCTTGTTGGATAAAAGTAAGAACAGTAGAGAGAGAGAGAGAGAGAGAGAGAGAGAGAGAGAGAGAGAGAGACAGTGTGTGTGTGTGTGTGTATGCGCAGTCCCCTACATGTGTAGGCTTGAGCATAAGGAATGGTTGGCCAGTTGGTTTGTTGGTTTTCAGTCGATCAAACTACTTTGTGGATCTGTTAGGTGTGTTGCTTTTAAAGCTTTTCTTCGTTATTCTTCCAAACTCTTTTTTTTTTTTTAATTCCTGGCAACAGTTTGGTTCTCTCTTTTGCCAAGCCATTTCTTAATTTAAAGACCACCCAACTCCCAACTCTGTAGGAAAACAAGTGATCTCCATCTGGGATGTGTGATGATGAGTATTCTGATCCAGTTCTTAGAATCTTAGTTTTTCTTTTGTTGTTGGTTTTTATGTCACAGTATTATTTATGTTTAGGACATTTTCCAAGACTGGCTTTGATTAAGACCCAATTATCTTAACATAAAAGAATAAATAAGAGAAAGATAATTCTGGGGATATAGAATACCTTTTATATGAATATTTTGGCATAACATAAGATATTAAAAGGATAATATAAATTAATTTTTCCATTTTCCTTATGAATGAAACAGTAAAAAGTAGAAGAATATGGGGGAAATTGCCTAACTCAATCAAATAGCCGAAATAATGAAAAACAACAACAACAACAACTATGGCACAGGAAAGGGAATCATATAGAGCCGAGTTATATGCAGTCAAAATTTTTAAGTTGTTTACACTCTAATGGAATAACTTAATATTTTTTAAAATCCAAATTTATTTTTACTCAAAATCTTTTCTCCTAGGTTCTCTTTATTCAACAATTATTTTCTCACACCTACAAAGCACAGGTATTGTGATTATTGTTAAAGGTACAAAAATCAATGAGATAATATCCTTCCCTTTGTAGACTGTATTGCTGAATAGAGGAGGCAGATAAAAATGCAAAGACTTTTAAATGAATACTGATTGACTTAAACAGAAGTTTGTATCAAATGAAGAGGAATGGAGGCACATGAAGGTACAAGGAGTATTCTTAGACACAGAATAATTCAGTTGAGCTGGAGTTTAATCTTATATATTTGCCATGATAATTTTCATATCTCGAAAAATACAGGATAGGGTAAAAGTAAGTTTATAATTGTTCATATGGAAAATAATACAATATTTAATAAATAATAAATACAAAAATAAACTCTGTATACTCATTACTATAAACCTACTTTTGCCTCATCTTATAGGTATGTGTGTTTAAACTAAGGTAGAAGTAGTAGGAATGAAAAGAAGATGAAGACATTTTGAGTTGTTCAGAATATAGAATCAATGAAAGAAGATAACTGGCAGTATATATAGGTGAAGAAGAAGATTTCAAATATTTCTGGCTGAGTAGATGGTGATTCCATTAATTTAAATGGAGAAATCTAAAAGAAGAGTAGGTTTGGAGGTTCACTTTAGGACATGAATTTGATGTCCATGGAACATGGGGTAGAGTTGGTGGTCAATCAGTTAGAAATTTAGGTCTGAAGCTCAGGAGAAAAAGCTGAGCTGGTAACAAAGGTTTCAGCATTGGGTCAAAGCTGAGTCTTAGGGATGCTTGGTTAGGAAGTTACCCTAGCAAAGAACATGAATGGACACAATTTAAAGTATCTCTTAGTTTCACTGTTCAAAAAATCACAATCACATTTATACAATACTATGTCAAAATACATTTTCTAAAATCCATCTCACTACAGCATTCTACATCTGGCAAATACAATGGTCAAATAGTCTCTTTGCAGACATTCTTGCTTATTTCAGAACCTCACCAACATTTTCCAATCTGGGCAGATACTATGCATTATTCATATAAAACAGTTGTGAATATAGGAAATAATAGTTTTGGACATTGATTACATTATTATAAGATATAAACATAATATCATGTAATCTATATACATAAAAAGCTAATATGCAAATTGTCCCTGCATGAGTTTGAACAGGAGACCAGTAGTTTGATTGCTTGCTATGACGTGTGCTGACCACTAGCGGTGGTGTGGAATGAAGGACGGCTCCAGCCAGCAGCCAGAAGGCCCCGATCAGCCCTGATCACCAGCCAGACCTAGGGACCCTACCCATGCACGAATTTCGTGCACTGGGCCTCTAGTATTATATAATTATCTATTTTCTATTTATTGATTACAGTTTGCATATTTTCATGTAATTCATAACAAAAACCCTGTGTGAAAAGATAGCCATCTCAGTTTTAAAAATGAGGGTACTTAGAGTGATTAAGTTGACCAAGGTATTACAATAAAATAGTTATATTTCTACACCAAAACAATTTGCTAATATGCAGAGAAATGTGTTTAAATTTGAAGGAACTCTGTGTATATGTATTCATATTTATTGATATGATATGATATGATATGATATGATATGATATGATATGATCCTATCTAATAATAGACAAACATGGTAATTAACTGTACCTCCGACACGCTTCCCATTGGCTAATCAGGGCGATATGCAAATTAACTGCCAACCAAGATGGCGGCCAGCAGCCAGGCAGCTGAAGCGAACAGGAGGCTTG